ATGTATTTTGATATTTATAATGATTAGTGAAAGTGTCTATTAGTGTGAAACTGGGTAAGTATAGTTGGTGGTTAGTGGAAGTTTAGTGTATGGTTATTGGGACCAATTTGTGAATTACTTATCTAAATTAGTAAGTATAAACTTTAAAAATGAAATTTAGATATCGAGTATATATAAGAGTAGCTATAAACAGTGAATAGAGGTTTGAGTTTAATTTTGGTTGTTAGAGAATATTTGTTGGCTGTACGAAATGTATACTTAATAGATAGTTTAACCTTAACTAATGTGTTTTTGTAAGTAGCTATATTAGGAACTGGACTAGTAAATAAAGGTTTTGGTTGTTAGAAAATATTTGTTGGCTATATGGAATATATACTTGATAGATAGTTTAACCTTAACTAATGTGTTTTTGTGAGTAGCTATATTATAAACTGGACCAGTAAATAAAAGTTTGAGTTTAATTTTGGTTGTTAGAGAATATTTGTTGGCTATACGAAATGTATACTTGATAGATAGTTTAATCTTAACTAATGTGGTTTAATATTTAATATTATTTTAGTTAGCATCACGACATTTAGTAAGATCTTTCCTTCTAATCATTGTTAATGGAAGTGGAGTAAGATATGTATATTAGATGGATGTATAAGTTCAGATATTGGAATGATGATTAAGCGAACAATTTAATTTATTATTTTAGTTATCAGGTAAGTAAATTCTTAAACTACGAAGTGAAGTTAAATTAATTAATTGAACTGTATGAGGTTAGAAATGATAATAATATTATATTTATAGCATATATTGGTAAGATGCAAATGTAGATGATGTGGTTTGGGTTTTAGCTCTAAGTAATGTGAATGAAAGTTAAGTAACTTTGTTAGGTTATTGGATAATTTATTATTTGGTATAAGCTTATATATATTTTAAAGTAAGAATTCTTGATTACATGATTGGAAATTCTGTTTTATATAATCTCAAACTATACCAAATTCGTAAAATTACAAATAAGGAAAATTATTAATTACTATGATTTATCCAAATTTGTAAAATTATGAATAAGGTAAATTGATAAATTACTTTTAACCAAATTTGTAAAATTACGAATTAGGCAACAAAATTCTTAATTTTAAATACGTAAAAAAACTTAGAAATTTTTCGTTCGAGTTTAAAACATCTATAAAAAGAGCTTGAATTTCAACACTTATCCTTCATCAAATCAACCTTGATTTGATAAATTGAATACAGTCTCTTCGAGCAAGTTATTTATTAAGAAACAATAATTATTGTTTCTTAAAATATCTCAAACTATTACTCGAGATATTACTACACATTTTATACGCTTTGTCCCTATTAATTACAAAATTGTTCATGAATATTTTATTATAAAAAACAATATTCCTTGGTGGAATATTGATTTTAAATGTTCATATATTATTGTTTATAAAAAATGAAATTCTAAAGAAAAATTTGACATGTTAGAACATAGCAAACATGAAAAATATTTTGATTTTTTTAAATTTAAATGTTCTGATACTCGTGAATTTCATCCACATTTGTGGCAATATGATAAATGTCATAATGATAATCATTGTTTTTTTCATCAACGTTGTGATTATTTTAAAACATTACAAAGTATTGATAAGAATCTTCCTGATAATGAAAAACTTGCTCGTTTATCTAAAAAAAATTCATTATTGAGACTTAAAAGATTACATAGTTTTATGAAACTTAGATATGATATTTTCTTTTGGATTAAAAATTTTTCAGATACAGGAACAACACAATATAAAGATAAAGTTAAACTTTTACGTGATTTTAAAACATATGTGTTTAGAAAAGGAAAGAAAAAAACAATAATATACAAGAATTTACAGTTAAAAAACTTGAAATTGTAATTACTAATCAGATAAAACAAATTGAAGAATACCAATTAAAATCTCCAAAATATTATCCAGTTTCACCTTCTGCTCAGTCATTTGACTGAGCAGATTTTTAATTATGTAAAGATAGATTTACAACAATTCGATATAATTTTTGCAAAATTATTTCAAGCATTTCTTCAATTTCTTATATCTTTTGAACAACTTTATTTCAATCAATCTTCTTCTTTTCATGATTTAGAATCAAACATATTTTCTAATAATTTCAAATTAATAAATCAATATCTTCAAGAAAATCCTCAAATAAATAAGCATAATTTCTTTCTTTATCAAATGATATTCAATCGATAAACATGCGTCATGAATATACATATAGGTTAAATGGTAGTTGATGTTGGAATTGCAATGATTTTTATTCTTATAGATGTTGCGCAGCATGTAAAAAAATTGTCGAATGGTGTGAATGTGTATATATCTGTGGATATACTTACCAAACAAAACAAAAAAATCAATTTGCAAAATGTAAATTTTATACAAATAATTTTAATGATATTATTCATAATTGTAAAGGAATGATGAAAAGGGATGAATTTGTTTTATATATTAATGAACGTGAAAAGAAACCATTCAAATCTGATTATTTAAATAGACAATTTAATTGCTATTATTGTAATCAAGATGGCCATTCATCTATTAATTGTAATAATAAAACTATCTAGCCAGTATCAATAATGATACCGGCTAGAATTTTAATTACATAACAATTATCTAAAATGAGTTTTTCTATTATTCTTCATCAATATTCTAGTGAATTGAATGAAATTGAAAATGCTT